GGCTTCAAAATGCCGACCAGGGATGGCGCCACTGAGAAAGGGACCTTTGAGCAGAGACCCAGGGGAGGCAGACACGTGATAAGAGAGACCCAAGGGAGGCAGACACGTGATAACAGAAGAGCACTCCGGGTGAGGAATGCAAGTGCAAAGTCCCAAGCTTGCCTAAAGTTTTTGGAAAATGCGAAAGGAGCCAACGTGACAGAAGCTGGGGGAGGGAGTGGAGAGCAGGAATAACGGGAGAAGAGGTCCAGGAGGTGACACGGGCACTAACAGCACTGGGGAGTCCTGATCCCAAAGAAGCAGGAGAAGGCCAAGTTATTGTTAATGTTGTCCCTGGAAAGTGGGCACCCTTGGCGTCAAGAGTCATCCTTGTTAACAAGCTCCAGGACATTTACACACCTGCGGGCACAGCACACCGTATCATTCCCTGGCCGAGGAATTCAAACGTTCCAGAGTCTCGTCCCCACCCTCTGGAGGGGGAGCTCGGGCTGAAGGGGACACTTACAGGAACTTGCCTTCCTCTCCGATGGGCACCTATAAGGGCTCATTAAACACTTGATGAACGAAGAAGTGCTGGACGAGTGGTGCCCTGATATGAGCGACAGTGCAGGGTGCTCCAGGAGGCTACCCTCGGGGGCATCACTCGGGACAGAAGCGTGCAGGTGGTGAACTCGGGCAAAATGGCGAGAAACTAAATAAGCCCCAGCTATATAAAGTCTTATTACTGAGTATCATTAGACGTTCAGGCAGGAAGAATGAACTGAAAAAACAGAATGAGGTGGGTGATTTGGGAGTGGGTATTTTTGCTAAGTCAATGTAGAGAAAGGAGTTTTGTGGGGAATCTCCTATGTTGGGATAAGATGAAAATGTAATATGTGAAGTCATGATTAGAGCAGTGACAAATCAGAAGTTATAAATAAGTGTATGATCAACATCTGTATACAGCAGCCACATAATGATTAAGCTGATAGATATTTTAGCATAAAAGAAAGAAGTGCTTGGGAGCTGGAGACTGGAGCTACAGACCTTCTCTAAAATGGAAACAAAAGGTCGACAGGCAGCAGTTTGCAAAGTCCGCTTTGACTCTGAAACTCAAGAGAGCACGTGGTAGGCCTTCAGCCATCTGAAGTAAACAAGCCAGTGTTGGTGGCAAGAGCCGGCCTCGCCGCTCCATCAGCCCTTCTCAAGTGTCCCTTACAGTCAAGGGACGGGCCAGGGGTGAAACCTATGCTGGGAAAAGCTCTCTGGTCACCTGTTCTCTGCCTGCCAGGTGTCCTATACTCGGGGCATGGGCGGCCGGAGGGATTTTCAGTGCGACAATCTGCCAGAGCTCCAATCCTCCCTCAGACACGACCTCATGAAAGTTTCACTCTTTTAACATGAAGGTGGCAAGAACATAATTTAGAAGATCAGGATACTATGTCTGTGCCTCTTTCAGCCATCATCCCATCAATGTAAAAACTTCAGAGGTGCTTAAACTAAAAAACAAAAGCAAACAAACTGCCTCGAATGCACTGTCTGGGAGTGTTCTCCTTCTGCTTCTCTAACTGGGACTCTGCTGCCCTGGGCTCTCCGGTGACAAGCGTGAACACACTCCACACACTCACTCAGAGTCAAGATCTGTGTCTTGGTCCAGGGGCCCCACTGCCACAAAAGGGTTATGCTTTACGATGACCGCTGTGATCACAAAAGGCTAGCAGCCTTTATTTATAAAGAGCTCATATACAGAAACCAAACAGAAACCAAAAGTGAAAATGATAGAAAGAAAGAAAAAAAAAAAAAAAGAAAAGAATATGATAGCACTCCCAAGAGAAGAAAACAGAGATGGTCAACAAACACTTAAAAAACGTTAAACCTTGCTCGTTAAACCTAGCAATGCTGGTTAAAAACGTTAAACCTAGCAATGCTGTGCCATTTTTCATTATCAAAGATGAAAAGACAAGAAAATTCAATCTGGGAGGATGCGATGAGATAAGTACTCTCTTAAACTGCTGGTGGAAGGATAAACTGATTCACAAACATAGTCACCATGGCATTATTTTTAATATTATAAAAGAACATTGTAAGACAGAATATATAAACCATACACAATAGAACAGCTAATGCAGCCGTTAAAAATATTGTTTAGGAAACACTTCTAGTGACAAAAGGAAATATTAATGCTATAATGATGTTTACAAAGCGGGATACAAGCACATATATTTACGTGGTCCCAACTATGTAAAACAACATTATAGAAGGGAATGTGTCACTGAGTGGTTACTTCTACAACCTTGAAGTTATAGACGATTTTTAGTCTTGTCTCCATACTTTCGTGCGTTTTTCTAGTTTTCTACAACCAAGATGCATTACTTTATTATAAACAGGAAAACTTCACCTAAAAATAGCAACAGTGACTCAGCAGTGTCCCCTTCTGCCCTCTGAAGGAAGCACAGGATTATCATCTAAAGGGAATTAAAAAGCTCATTGTGGTGAGAACATGAATGCTAGGATTGTTAAAAGCCAAAACAAAACAAAATAGGGTGAGCTCTTAGGAAGGCAGAGAAGAGTACCCTAGGGTTTTCCAACCAAATAACCATATCGTTTTACTGGGAAGTGTTTAGAAAAAAGAAGCTAGGACTAGCCCCCAACCTCTCTGTCCACATCCCAACAGGAAGCACAGAGGAGCCATCCCAGCACTGAGTATATATGAGACGTAAAACACGGCCCCTCACCTCAAGAAGCTTTGCCGTCTTGTTAGGTAAGTACATGCAGGACCTAAAGGACGCTACATGTCATTTTCATTCATTCATTCATTCAAAAAGAAAAAAAAGAAGAGCTCCTACTGTGTATCACGCACCATTCTGGGATAAAACAGCTAGTGGGAGCATAATCTTGGCCTTCAGCTGTATCAGAGCGCGGGCTGAAGTAGTCTGGAAGTTGGTGAAAAATTAGTAGGACTCAGAGAGGCAGAGAACAGGGTAGGACTTGAGGAGCTGGAGTGCCTGAGCGGGTGGGCAGTCAGGAACGGGGACAGTGGGCAGGTGCCGGACTAAGCAAAGCAAGCGGGGAAGACCAAAGGGAGCTGGGCCTCACTGGAGAACCCAAGTTCAAGCTCTAAGCCGTACCAGATCGTGGTGAGCCTCACGTACCAGGCAAAGGAGTTGGGACTGAATTCTATGTGCATAAAGGGGTGAGAGGAAGTAAATCAGGGACTACCACCTTCTCCACACGCCTGCTCATGGGCTTCCTAGCTCCTTTATTTTGTCTCACGCTCTGTCGAAAACCTCGAGAGAGAAGAGGAAGTCAGAAACAAAGGCCGTGGGTGCCTGGGGAGCTGCTGACTGACGTGGCTCAGGCGGTCTCCTCTGAGAAGCCCCAGGAATCTTTTTGCATTAAGCTTAATTTTTTTTTTTTTTTTAGCCCAAGTGTAACAGGCTTGAAATAGGAGAAGAGGGAGCATTTACACAAGGGCACTCCAACTCCCAACCCGGACCATGGAGGCAAGTCAAATCTTATTTCCCACTGCACAATGGTGTAAATCCGGATTCCAGTCCTGGAAATCCATCCGACACCCCGAAATACCTAAATGCATTAAAAATGGAGATACAGGCTTTTACAAACATTTGTTAATATGTAAAACCATGCAAACTATGTTCCTGTTGGGAATTTTTCCCATCCCGTGGGCTGCACCGGTTAAAACTTCTTACCGTACCAATCTAATACCGTGGACTAAACACACCCTTCTTATACCTGATAAATCTTTCTGTCTCTGCCAAAGGAGTCACTGATAAATCTTTATTCTCATCAGCCACCTACTGCAGACTGAACATCTGTGTCCCCCCAAAATTCGTATGTTGAAACCTAACCCCCAATGAGACAGTATTTGTAAGTGGGGCCTTTGGGAGGCGATTAGAATAGGATCGGTGCCCTTAAAAAAGAGGCCCCAGAGAGTTCCTGGTCCCTTCCACCATGTGAGGACACAGCAAAAAAGTTGAGCCCTTACCACACTCCGAATCAGCCGGTGCCTTGATTTTGGACTTGCCGCCAGAACTGAGAGAAAGAAATCTCTGTTGTTGACAAGCCACCCGGTCCACTGTAATTTGCTTTAGCAGCCTGCATGGCCTGACGCTGCCCTCCCCCTCAGTCTGTTCCACATCCTGCCCCCTCTCACCACGCTTTGTTTTTCCACGGGCAGGACAAGTGTGGGAGTGGTCAGGCAGACCCTCCAGCCAGCTCTGGGAAAGGTGAGGGGCTGCGCCTCCCAAGGGGTCCCTCCAGAAATTGATCTCCAGGGCCACCACTGGCCACCACTCCCTGCACTGCCCACACCACGGGCAGCCCTGGCCGGGTGCACTGCAGGACACCACTCTGTGTTCTGGCCCTGTGCTCCTAGGCACTTCAGGATGGAAATGGCTGTTTTGTTCCATATTGGCAAGTTTACAAATATAAAGGCATAGTATGCAGACTACTGTTTGAGAGGCCAATTTGGAGAAGTCCTTCTGATTAAAAACTTAGTGAAAAGATTTTTCCAAAAAGATGACAAAGGTACATCCTATATATATCGATACTATATACTATGGAGGGACTAGAGAAGACAAGTTTCCTGTAGATCAATTTGACAAAATGCAGTAAAATCACTAAAAAATATTGCTACCCTTGACCCAGTGATTGCAGTTTTAGATATTAATCCTAAGGAAAAATCAGATTCAGCAGTCTCAGGCCAAAGGGCATTCAGTTATGATCTTTCCCACCCTCAAAGCTGCCAGGAGGGCCCTTCCTCCTGATCTCAGCCCAGAGAGGCAGCTGAGGACTTAGCCCCTGGAGCCTGCCTGGAGGTTACCCCAGATGTCTTGGTTTTGGTTTGGCTGTCTTGAAGGGAGTTTGCCACAGGTTTTAATGGAATTCCAGAAGGGAGAGCATGAGCTTGAGAAGAAACTGGGAGGGAGACAGGGAGAACTGGACACTCACGGCGTGACTTCCTGCAGGTACCCAGGAAGGCGCCCTGCGAAGTGCAGAAGATGCCCGTCCTAAGGTCAAGGCGGAGTAACCAACTGCTGTTCCTGGGAATCATGACACTCACAGTCACAGTGATGTTCCTGCTGTTCTTTGCTCTCCTCTGGAAGGCCGGCAACCTTATCGACTTGCCCAACCTCAGAATTGGCTTCTACAACTTCTGTCTTTGGAACGAGGGCACTGGAGCCCTACAGTGTCACCAGTTCCCTGAGCTGGAGGCCCTGGGGGTGCCTCGAGTTGGCCTGGCCCTGGCCAGGCTTGGCGTATACGGGGCCCTGGTCCTCACCCTCTTCATCCCCCTGCCTCTCCTCCTGGCCTGGTGCAACAGTAACGAGGGAGAGTGGCAGCTGGCCGTGGGCTTCCTGGCCACGTCCTCCATGCTGCTGGCCAGCGGCCTGGGCCTCTTCCTCACCTACACATGGAAGTGGCTCCAGCTCTCTCTCCTGGGGCCTGGGTTTCTAGCTCTGGGTGTTGCCCAGGGCTTACTCATCCTCTTGCTTATGGCCACAGTCGTGTTCCCTCAGAGGGCAAAGGACAAGAACTTGAGAGCTGCTAGCTCTATCTAAAGGCTTTCGTGATTGCAAGGGTTCTGTCTGAACTATGCTCAGAGAAGGTGCCAGAGAATTCACGGGCTGCTGTGTCTTCTCAGCCATGCTGTTTCATAGCTAATGCTGATCTCAAGATCTAGCAGACGGGACCCACCGCAGAGGGGGTAGGGCACCCGACGTCAAGGACAGGCAGCAAGGGCGGCCAGGGCTCCCTCAGCTTCTTAGTGTAGGGTTGTGTGTCCTTTGGGACTTTTAAGGTTCCCAAGGACACCCTAAAACCACACAGCTCATTGTCACAAGAATTCCTGCTTTAACTAACTGATCTGAGCAAGCCATTCTTACTTTATCCTCAGAACAATGGGGAGATAAGACTTCCTGTCATGGGGCCAGATTTCCAGTACAAGTTGCCAAATGCCAGACTGGAACCCAGTGAGGGTTTATGAAGAAACACCTCAGGGTCCCTGGGGGCCCTGCCTGGCAAGCTCCCCATCTCCATCCAAGGCGGGTAGAACGCGATAAGCCCCTCACCTCTGACAACGCTCCCAAAGGCCCAGGAATAATCTGAGGGATTCACCGAAGACAGAACACATGGGCACAAAGAGCAGCCTTGGTGGCTTTGAAGGTTCCCCTGAAAAGGCTTCCAGACCTGAAGCCCAACAGAGCAGGGGGTCAGCGGGCAGATCCCTCCCAGCACGTGACCTGGGAGTTCAGGAGCCGAAGACACGCAGTCCCTGGTCAGGAGAGGAAGGTGAACAGGACTGAACGGTTCCACATCCATGTGAATGCTGCATCCCCTCACCTCTCAGCCCGGGCCCAGAAAGGATACAAGCACAACTCATGCACTGGGGAACTTTGTGTATTTTTCAGCACCTATATATTGAAAACCTGTACAGCACGTGATTGCCTCATCCTATGCCTGTCAAAAGCCACACTGAATACAGAAGCAGAAACACGGACTCTAGTGTGATGTCTTGTCCTTGGTGTCTCCTTTGGGTTCCTGTCCCACTCTTGCTTTCCGACTGTCCAGGGACCAATGCCAAGGCCACCAAGTGGAAGAAAGGTGGCAGCTCGGGGGGAGGAGGCCTGATTGGTCAGGAGGCTTCCCAATCTGTACGCTGAGCCTCAGGCTCCTGGACGGAGCCCAGCACTGTGGCAGGATGTCTGGTTCAGGGCTGAATGAGCAACGGCTCACAGACGGATCGACTGCCTCGTGATGGAGGCTATTTTTAAAATAGGCTTCCTCCTTAGGGAGGCCAAACAGTAGGAATTCCAGTGTACTTAGCAGCCATACTTGTTTTTCTTTAAACATTATTAAGTTGACTCTTTGGTTCCAGTAAGTTGACCACCACAGTCTCATCTCCCTGGAACCAGGTAACTGAACACAACAGACTGTGGGGATCCCAGACCCTCTGAGCGAGGAGAGAGCACAGTGCAGGGAGGATCTCTAACGGGAGCTCATTCTGATTCCTCACTTCACAAGGTGAATCTGCGCAGCCCAGAGAGGCGCAAAGCTGGAAGCAGAAGCCGTGACAGTCTGAGGGCAGCGCCCAGGCCAAGAGGGAAACCCCGCTTCCTTCAGCCACCCTGGGCAGAAAGTCCTGGAAGTTTGTCCCTTAGCTGAAAAATATCTCTCTGACGTATTTGAGCGCGTCCTGGTCCTCCCCGAGTTCTCTGCCGCAGGCCGAGTCAGAACCCGCAGGCCCCGGAGGAGGGCCATCTTCCCCACAGTCCTCGTCCCCGCTGTCCTCGCTTCTGCTCCCGCAGGGACTCGGGGACGGTGGTGCTGAGCTGGCCGGGGACTGCTCTGGCTTATCAGCGCCTGCCAGAGGCAGCTGTTCCAACGGCTTTTCCTGTTTTCGGCCCTGCTGCGTAGAAGCAATGGCAGGCAAAACAGACGGGGGTTTACTTCCCTAATGTGCTGGTTTATCTGTCAGTGACGCAGAACATGCCCAGAAGCAACTGTGAAGCCAGCACGGACGAGTCAAGCCCTGCCCCCAAATCACAGGGGGCCCCTCCCTCCCTTCACCCGACCCGACCCCTCCCCTCCCCGCCACCCCTTCTCAGATGGTGCAGAAGTAGAGACCTGCTTGGGAGAGCAGTGGCAGGGGCCTGAAGAATAGCGCCACAGGAAAGGCAGAATGCAAGGAGCACAGGAGATGAACCCCGAGTGTGGGCCTTAGCCTCTCCCTTACTGGCACCAAATCACTTATTGTAACTAATAATATCTATCAGCAGATTATTGCAAAGAATAAATGCGATAGGAATATATAAAAGTCCCTGAGCAACTATCAAGTACTATCAACTATCAAGTACAACTCTAAAGTGGGACAGTTATCATTCGCTTCCGGAAGCCAAGACACTCAGCGGCATGGTGCTCCGTACGGCGCTCAGAAGTCACCTTGCCCGACTGAGACCCTCCAGAGAACATGAGCAGTTAACGACTTGTCCCGTCCACATGCCACCAGCACAGAGTCACCCAAACAGAGAGGGCTGCCCTCCCTCGCACAGCTGTGCCCTCCCAGGTCTCCAGCCCCAAGCGGGTGCCCACCGACCAGGGAGCGGGCTGCGGATGAGCAGGCTCCTGGCCACCCCAGCAGGCAGGGCGCCTCTTTTATTAGCATGAACCAGGCCCTGGTCTAGTTTCTGCCCACCAAGAGTTTCTGGTCATAAGAAAAGACACAGCTGACTTTACCTCAATCAGGATCCCCAGAGCAATATCTACGATTTCAGCTTCATTCATGCAGTACACAGTCCTCACGGCAGGAAGTCTGAAAGAAAAGCACAAAGCTTGAGATGGCACGGAATCACCAGGAGGAGAGAATGAGAGCAAGAGCTGCGTCGCAGGGCCTGCCCACCAGTGGTGAGAGCAGCAGCGTCCCCAGGGCACCAACGTGGCTTCTGCATCCTTGTAACCAGTGACTGGCACAGGGGGTTCTCGGGGCAACAGTGTGGGGCTTCCCAGCCTCCACCAGCTCCCCTGAGGATCTGGAAACAGGGCACAACGGCCAGCTTCTGAGAGTCAAACTCACACACACGGTGGATGCGAGCAGATCGAACAAGCCAAGACACAACCCCCCCCACCCCCCACCGCAGTGCATGAACACAGTAAAGGAGGGCGGCACAGACCAGAAATCACGGCTGGCCAATGAAGAAAACTTAGAACGGGAAGGGCAGAGAGGGACAGTGAGTGCCTGGGACCACGAAGGGAGAGGGCAGGGACATCCCCTCTCTGGCAGCCCAGAAACCCCTGCCATTACCACCATTCAACTAACCCACCCCACAGCCTCTGATCTCAGGCCGGCACAGCAACCTGCAGCTTGTCCACCTGTCCCTGAAGATCCACCCGCAGGGAGTCGGGACCACCTCGTTCACTCATCTTGCCCAGTGGATGGTCACAATTTCTGTGGCAAGAGAAGAGACTGGCAATTTGGACAACTGGCATCTGAGAGCTTGGCTGGTGTGTGTGACCCAAGAGGGGGAGCTGCTATCCGGGAGCTGACAAGTGAGGGTCTGGCAGTGGAGATTCACCAAGAGAGGCAGAAGCCGGTGCCAGTCTGGGAGGGCACAGCTCACTTCCTGTGCCCCACCCCCACCCCGAGAGCTGATGAGAGGTCTGTGGACTGAAACACTCCACCTCACTGTTCTGCCAACACGGGAAGGCTGGGCCCCGGCAACTGTGATGCCCCAAATCCCTCCGCCTGTCCTAATTCCTCAGGAGGACCAGAAGCTGCCCCACCTCGCTGCCGCCACTGGCACCGTGGCTGTTCTCCTCATCCTGGGGCTCTTCACCTGCACCGTCCTCTTTTCAGCCACCTGGGCTGTCATCCATGCAGGAAGCACCCTTTTTTTATTCTCAGATTTTAAGTCTTCCATCTCCCTAGTCTCTCATGAAGAGGAACCAGGGCCCAAGCTTAATGACTTCAGGACAGCAAATCCCACTCTCTCATCACACCAGGAATTATAGGCCTGTTTCTCCTGAACGGGAGTCCAGCTTTAATTCCTACAAAGAAGAACAAAGACCAGTGAATTCTAATCGAGAATACTCCCAGGCATCAGCCGAAATTACTGGTCAGGGCAGGGCCCAGGAGACGCAGATGTGCTGTTCACAGGGCATGAAGGGGCAGGCAAGGGGCTCAGGGAGAAGCAGCCCTCCACGCAGGGCCCAGGGTCCCCACCGGCAGCCAGGCCCAACGCCTCCAGGAGCCTCTGCACTGAGCCATTCCACACGGGAGGAGTGGGATGAACACCCTCCCAGAAGGAAAGAGGGAGGGAGGTGCCCCTGCTCCTCTCCACCGCAGAGGCTCACGGTCCCCAGGGTGTCCAGACTACCCTACCCTTAAGACACCTCTCCAAGACCTCTCCCCTGTTTCTCACAACCACAAACTTCTCATTCCCTCTTCTGGGAGCGGTTATAAGAAATTCCAAGGCCATTTTGATTCACAATGCGGTTTCACCGGCCAGCACCCACTCCCTTACACCAAAGATATTTCTGACCGGTCAGATTTCAGCCAGCAGTAGGGTCAGGAATCCAGAAGCTGGGGCGCCGGGCTGGGGGGAGTGTTTCATCTTACCGGGCCTCTCCCCACCCGCACTGGATTCCACCTGAGCCCCTCCTCCTAAAGCTCAGCCCCGACCCTGTGACTCAAAGGGTGCAGGGCTCCACCCTCCACTTAGCAGTTAACCCTAAAGGCAGCTGCGGGCGCCTTCTGCCTAAATTCAAGCGGTGCTAATACTCATTCCCACATCTAACGAGCACCGCTAACCGCCCGGCACAAACAGCGCGGCGATCGGTGCATACACTGATTCGACCGTGAGGTAGATATTCTGAAGCGTATTTAACAGATAAGGAACTGAGACTGAGCAGTATGCACAAAGTCACAAAAAAGTTTGAAATGGCCGGCCGGGACACGCACCCGGGTCCTCCAGACTCCGCCGGCTGGGGGTGGGTGAGGGCCTGGGACGCCCCAGCGCGGACCCGCGGGCGCGTGCCCAGCCCAGAGCTCCCGATTCTCAGCCGC